CTCTTACTTTTTTCGGACAAAATATTCGAAAAAGTATATAGAAGGAGACATCGCTTTAATAAAAATTATGTTAGAACTATACAAAACAACTAAAAAGTAAAACATTAAAAGTAAGTAGATGTAATTTGAGCATAAATTCATATGTAGGTATATTTACATTAGGATGGTCCAAAAAACAAGTTAAGTCGACATTTTACCGCTCTTACCCCCCAAGGATTGTTCTATACCAAAAAATTATACCCCTGTTTTTTCTTTTATTTTGAAATCAAAAAAATATTTAGAGGTCGCTCAAAGCGCTCAAGGTTTTCCATGTACTTGATATGGCGAATAAAAAAAGTTTTCGTAGAAATGGTATAGAATTTTTGAAAATCAATATTTTTTGGTCGGAAAACTTTGTTTCTCTTCAGGAGACTGCCAATAACAGGGACGTGAACCGGTTTTGAACCGGAAAACCGCTTTTTTCTATTAATTAACTGAACCATTAACCGAACCGAAATTTTCCACAAATGTTTGATCCGAACCGAAAACCGAACCACTTTCCATAAAGGTTTAAAGGTTCGTTTCAACCAATTTTCAATAGATAAATGTACCCACTATTTTTTGTTTTTGTTAAACATGGTAATACCTACCATGTTTTTTTACCATGTGAGAATATCAATGGGTTGCCTACCCATCTCATTTGACAGACCGCTTAACCTTGCGCGTTGTTGCACTTGACACTTGACACTTAAACTTGCTCGTTATTTTTTTTTGTTTTTTGAACCCTTGAACCGAACCGAAACCCCGGTTCAAAGACCAAAAAAACCGCTTTGACGAACCAATCCAAGAGTGCAAAAACGGTTCGAACCGCTGAACCGAACCGACCAAATTTTTCATCCGGTTCACGTCCCTGGCCAATAATAATACCCAATTCTTTAATATATAACTTTTTCACTTTTCAAAATGAATTTTATCGTTTGCTTTGTTTACACATTTGAGTTCCTACAATTTTATCGCAAGCGACACTGTGTGTACACAACTTAAATGTTCTTTCCCTCACCAAAATTAGGTGCAATCTGCCATTATGCAATTGCAGCTGCAATCACTAAGTGCAGCGTGGCTCGTCTGGCGGGGTCTTTTTTAAAACTCGTGCTTTGTCAATGGGTTATAAGATTTAAAAGCGTACCAGAAAGTTGAAAAACAAACACCTAACGGTGCTTATATTCCTATTGTATGCACTGGTATAGAAAAAATTGGAACTGAATTCGAAATTGCCATTTTAACACCACCAGCTTATATGGCCTTATGGATTCACGCTTTCGAAATTATTTCATTTTACCGTTTATCTCCTTTCAAATTGCTGATCAGATTTTGATTTATAACTTTTGCTTACCATATCTTTTGCACTTCAGTCTTTTTTTTATATAA